CAAATCTGCATTGTGAAGTACGAAGGAAACGATGAGTCAAGTGTAATTTCAGCATAGAATTGAAGGAAGTTTTGAAGCCACTTTAATGAATGCATCGAAAACTTTTCCACTGACGTGCAATTTGCAATTTTCGCGCTGAGTATGAAGCAATTTTCACTCGGCCATCGACAATACGTTTTTCGATTATTTTAATTTTATGTTCCAGCGAGGTTAATTGGAATGCAATTACTACGGAATCGACGTTATTTTTGCGTGTACAACAAAAATGACGCGTTGGTTGGTATTTTTAAAGTTTTATTGTATGAATTCATGTAAATATCACGGCTTTATTCCGGATTAAAACTTTATAGAACTCTGAAAAGGCCACTTTTTAATAACGTGGATGCCTTGAAGAAGAGTGCGAATACTTTGATATGCTATTGACCACTTAAAAAGACTTTAAAGCATTGTAGTCGAAACATATAGCTAACATTCAAATTCATATTTACAATGACTTTTACAGATTCCACGAATAACATTGTCTGAAGTTTAACATAGTAACAAGTAGCCACAAAAATCCGATACAGGTTTTGTATTAGCCCGCATAGACTCTGGTTAACCGCAAAGCGTTATCAAGAGTGATTGAGAATTGAAAGGATAACAAAAGCACCGCAGACTCCAATGACCCACCTTTTAAATTTGTATTTTTTTTAACCAGTCATGGCCCTGATAACAAAAACAAATTCAAATAATAAACAAAGAAATGTCCAAAAAATCTTATCTCAAACCAAATATTAATTAACCTTACTAAAGTTAATGGTTGTTACAGTTTTTGATATTGTAGTCATAAAAAATGTAATCTAATTAAAAAGTTAGATAGTAGTATAATAGACTAGATTTCGCGCGCTACTCCGCCTGCGTGGAATTAAAAAATAAAACTAAAAGCTTATGTGTTCTTCCATACTATCCTCTAACATATGCTAAATTTCACTGAGATCCCTTCATAATTTTAGGCTACAAACTCCAACACACATCCATCCATCCAAACTTTTGCATTTTAAATATTACTAACATTATCATATTAGATAATAGGATAAAATCGGAACAGAAACGAATAAAGTTAAGTAAAACTATATAATTAAGGCGGGGTCTTATTTTATTTCTGTTCTAACAAAAACCCATAAAATAATGGCTCGTATTAAAGTATTCATTACGTATAAAGTTGAGGGCGCAGTAAAGGCTTCGTAACAGTCTCTCAGTTCAACACATCTCGAAATAATTCCATTAGTGTTGTGAAGCATACCGCCCACCTAAGTTTTTAAAAATTAATTTACGTCGGCAACGTTAAGCGTCCTTCTCAAAGGGTATTTAGAAACTGTACGTTTACATCATGATATGATAGTTACATGTTTTTTAGTAATAATTTCTTGTAAAGTAGTTATTTAGAATTTAATATTTAAGTCAGCTTAGAAGACACATATGGGTTGTAGTAAAATTGGTGGAAGTATTTTTTATTACAAATTAGCAAACGAGCACGCGACTACATGAATTCGCCAAAATAGCGAAGTAGCCGATGACCATAGCCTTCTGTAACTGCAGATGCTTTACCTTTAATCGACGTAGTAGAAGACGCAAAGAAAGAGAATATTGCCCCTTTCCCTTATGGTAGTGAGCATGGTTATGCATAAAAATCTTTTAATGCTATATTATTTAGAAAAATGCTATTTTAGATACAGACATTTTTTTACTTTATATTTTCTTTCATATAAAAATCGATAGAGTTTCGGTGCAGTTTCTATTTTCGTCATATTTGGTGCAAACAATGAGTTCAGTCGACACAGATCAAACAAGAACTACAGTTACTGGACTGTTCGTATTGATAAACTAGATTAGAATAAAAAAAACTGAAATACACTAAATCTTCTTCCAGGCTATGTTCTGTATCTGATAAACTTTTCATCGAAAACTGTTACGCCATTTTAGAAGATACGCAGTAACAAATACGAGTATACATCCATCCAAACTTTTGCATGTAACTATCATAACTATCATATTATATTTAAATTGATAATTATAGGGATAGAACGGTAATTTGATTAAAAACATAAGAATTACTTAACAAAAGTATAAAAAATGTAAATGAACCGATACGAAGGTACGTGAGGAAAAATGTCAGCAACACTAAAACTATAGACAGGCCATAGATTCTCCTGTACTAGCGAAATAGAAGTATCTGTCAAAGAATTTTGAAGAGTGTACTAAGGTCTATGCAGCCGACGGCCACTTACACACGGAGCGATTCTTGTCAACGACCCCTTCGTCCCCCTCACCCCCACTCCTCTGCTTTAAGGTTTTTTTCTCCTTTCACGAATAAGTAGGCACCGGGAAAGCAAAAAACATTTTGAAAAAATTAGAGGAAACATTACATATCAGGTAATAAATTAAGACACGAGTTTTATAAATGTCTCAAGTGCTCAAATAACTACTTCTTGTCTGTTATGAAAGCTCTTTGACTGCAATATAAGGCGCCTTAAGAAATGATTCCATGTAAATCGAAAAAGTTAGTAAAGTAGGTCGACGTCGCATCGCGGCCGGGTCGAGAACGACAATCCTTTGCAAAGCACATCTGCCCACTTCACGCGTCCCTATCAAACGCTCCTTGACACCAACCCGTCACAACCGTGTCTTACGTTTTTCAATCTTGTTTTTTAACTCAATTATACCCACGGAAATACCTTTTTCAACTACCTTTAAAAAATATATTATAGAGTATTAAATTTAAATTATGTTGCCGAAATTGTAAATTACTCTAAACAAGCTGATCGCGCCCTTAAACATTCATTACAAAATTAGTCTTATTAACATGTTGTTTTTAACGATTCCTGTTATACAAATATACCAATATTTCTTGTTTCCATTCTATCAAAGTTCTAGCCTTCTGAGTACAGTTTGGCTAACGAAAATAGAAGTTGGATCCCGACAAACGTATCCATGACCGCATATCGATACCCCGAATCTTCAATCATAACATTTAAAATGCGAATAACCTTTTAAATAAAGCATTAGGAAGGAAACAAATGAAGTACAAGACTAGTTACTCAGACTGCGAATAGAAAAATAGCCTTGATGTACATTTACATACATGGTATATAACTTCAATACACCAATCTCCGATGGCAATTAAGACTGTGCCAGTCCGTGCAGGCTGAAACGAATGGGGCTCTTCAATCAACGAATCAATCTACAATCGCGAATGGTCGCCACTTGCCAGCGACAGTTCAACAAATTTATTGCTCCAAATGGCTGGTAGTTTTCAAATTTTCGATGCCTGTTGATCGTCAGTTGGACATAACATATTTATTTTCCTATTTAAATATTTTTTAAAAAATCAAATTCGCAACCCCATAAATAAAATTAATTACTTTTAAACTAAAGCCATGTCAGTTTACATATTATCTTGTAAAATATTAATAATAATCGTTGATGTGAAATATTAGTTACAGAAGAACATTAAATCTACAGTAAAAATACTCAAACGTCAACTTTATAACCAATAACTACGTAGTAGTCTTTGACTCCAAAAATCAAACAAAAAAATGGGACCCACCTGCAAGCATTACCTTTCGGATAAAAGAGAATTATCAAAATCGGTCCACTAGCGGCGGAGTTATGCCGTAACACACATAAAAAAAAATAAAAAAACATACAGACGAATTGAGTACCTCCGTCTTTTGGGAAGTCGGTCAAAAAACAAAGATGCCTATTCATTCTCTTTGAAAAAAAAATAATAGTAGATTTTTGTTAATTTCTTGATAGTTCATTTTCTCAACCATAAGACGGACGTCCATACCCTTGATCATTAAGCTGTTGGCACTCCTATCTTCTTCTACATTGACCACCAACTAAATATTTTATGATTCTATGGAAGTATGTAAAAGTTTTCTTTAACTTCGAGAAAAATCACTACAGATTACAAGTTTAATCCCGTCTTTGCTGATAGACGAAATTTCTAAACATGTAAACGCAATTTCCCGAATACGGAAGAACAACTTATAATATTATATTTGGCAGAAGTTAACTTTGGCATGAATTCAAGTCCACTTGTAACAAAGGTATGCTGACTCTTTAACACGGTTAATCTAACTATTTTTTGAATCAGATACAAATTGACTATATTATTTTGTGAGATAGGATATCTAATATGACTTTTTTTGAATGTCGGCTTACAAAAAAACATTCACTGTAGACATTATCTTGCTAAATTTTATTATCAAATAATTGAAACAAGAATTATTTGAAGTCCAATTTTAATTTACACAGACGAACTTTGAATAAAGATTCAAAATATGAAATTCCTACTCAACAATTGTCAAGTGGTACCTGGTTATATAGCGACGCTCATCTGTTCCAACTCATTAAGAGTTTTGCCTGAATTTAAGCATGGTTAAGGTGTGCCGTGATTAAAGTCAGACGATGGCACGACTGCTTGCCAAAACCGCTTCTGCCAGCACTCCAAAGTCGAGAGCACGTTATATTAGACTTTGGCAATAGTTACTTAAGTGGATGGTTCCCTGTGTTTACTTACTTGCTTTGTGGTTGCTGTTTACTTTCATGTTTCATACAAATTACATACTAACTATCGATAAATATTTCAAGTCTTTCAATTCTACATGTTTACATTTTTGGTTACTGATAAGAGAGAATCTTATTCATTAAACTTTTTTTTTCAGATCCTTCAACGTTGCCTGCTTTAAACTAATATCTCCTCTTTATAACATTACTTTAAGTTTATGTAACATCATGTAACCATGTAAAGGTATACTATAATTCATAAAATCTATACAACTTTTACCATTATAATCTTAAGAGATTTAGTTAGTAGATTTATTTAGTAAGCTAAAAGCATCGTATTATAAGACTATTGAAACACTAACAAATTAAATAAAACTTCAGTGTTATAAGAAAAAAACAGCCAGTAAAGTAAAATCAGCCTGTATTGATTCAATTGTAATATTATAAAACATACATTAAAATAATTTGTATTACTTCGACAATGTTGTTACAATCGAATTTCATTAGCACGCTAATATTGGAAATATACTAGAACATTCCACGCCGCAAAATAGTCAAATAATAATTCGATTGAAGTCACGCGCTTTGACCGCGAACGGCCCACGCATTACAAGGGGTTTTTCACATCGCACGCTCCTCGGAGATATCTTTCAGCGTTTTACCTGAAAAAAAAGAAAAGACAATTACTTTAATTTACAGCATTGGACATCTGCCAAATATTTCAACCAGCCGTCTCTGATTGGTAGCAAAATGAAAAAGACAACGGACGCTAGACCTGCTGCCTACTATCGACATGTAACGAAAGGTTGAAATATGTACGTAGACAATATAATGCTCATTTATATCCTGTCATCGTGATACGTGGGGTGTTTCCAAGGCGTTTTCCAATTCGCTCATTTATCAAATTCCGAGCGACGTAATGAGACGCGCATTAACGCTCAACCGCGTCTAAATTTAAATAATTATCTCAAATTATAACGTAAATTTGTAAAGAAAGGATTTGTACAGGAAAATAAAACAAAACGTAAAAGACAATACACGTAATACATTATAGCGGAAAGGTAAACCACTACTTTCACTGGTTTTTGGAAGTCCTGGATGATAACGTTTTGCGAGGTGCATACTTAGATTTTAAGTTTCAAATTAATTGTGTCACTAAACAATACCCTATTTCCAGAAGGATTATCATCTTCTGTATAGACTGAAAACTCATTACTACTATTCGTAGTTGATCGTTTGCTGGAGATTAAATTATATAAAATGCGGTTTAATAATAAAGTGTGATTCAGAAGAGCGTTTATTAGTTGGATGTTTATTGCGAGCGCTGACGGTTCATCTATTATAGAACACGGAACTTGGGCTTGACAATGCACTCGATCGCAGCCCGCACTAAGTTTAACCGCAGCTATTCCATTCTGTCTTATTGCTCTTTCACAATGACTCTAATTCAGATCTCCTTTGTTCCAAACGGTAGAAGTAAACAAATGCTTTCTAATCTTATTTGTCTGATGATGCAGCCTACAAATATATAGATTTAATCAAAGGGTTTCATAGTAAACATAGTTTTTAACATAAATAAACCAGCGCTTTACCGCGATTCCACCTAAGCTAAGCAAAGATTCGGTCGAAGGATAGATGCGTGCTAGCTCAATAAGCGCCGATTCACCCTGCTTTTTAAGGTGTCCACGTCACACTGAGGCCGGCAACTTTTTCCATTCCTATGCTGTGTGCACGTGTGTGCATATAGTTAGTGCTTGATTTCTGTGCACGACGTTTTTTTTGTTATGAATAAAAAATCAATACCCTAGCTTATATAGAATAGTCCTTAGTAAGCGGAGCGAGACTGTGAAAAATCAGCCGTGCAGCAAAAACTAAAGTACGCACTCCATGTTACATTGTCAACGAAAAGCTGTCACGCGCACAATGTAGTTTAATGTACACACAAAGTATTATATGCGTTCGAATAGCAGAAACGTTTTATAGTCAAAACAACAAGCATTAACGCGTCCGGTTGTAATATTCTTAGCTAATACACGCTGGTTATTACGTACCGACGGATTGATAGACATCTTAAACAAACTCACTGTCATACACTCGGACTCGCGCGCAATTACAACAGCCAACATAGTCTAAACAATGGAATGGAAGGGTCATTTCGCTGTAATAATTGATTAATGATCATTGTTTTCAGCTTCGCTAACCTCAGTTGTAGTGCATATTATCATCGTAGTGTAATAGTCTACGGCTGGACAAAGGCCTCTTGCAATATGATTGATAACTATGTTTGTCAAACGTTTGCTACGGGAAGCCTACTAGCATAAGGTGTAGCAGTACCACCAATTTAGTACTCGTGTAAGCTACTTGCAAATGATGACATAAACAATAAAATAATAAGATTAAATGTAGATGTCTACAAAGGTAGACAAAGACTTAAGAAAAGATGGATAGATTGTATGAAAGAGGATTAAGAAAAGAGTGAATTTAGATATGACGGTGAATGTATGGAAGAGCAGTAAATACTGTGCCGATCCTCCGTAACAAGGGTAGGTTAATGATGATAAGATTCTGACATCTAACTGCTAAATTACTATCTCTAACAAATCTGATTCAACTCTAATAAGAATATAACAAAAATTATTTTGAACGACAGTTTTACTTCTTGTAAATTTTAGAATAATCCTATCAGTGCCAATATATTTTACACATTGAAAACTACGACTAGTCACATGACTTGACTGGCCAACTAGGCTATCGTCCGATGACGCAAGGGACAGGAAAACCAAATTTAAATAAGCCATAATAATATGCTCGCGTTTACAATTTCAAAAGAATGCCACCCGCTCAGATGACATTACTCTTTCCAATGGACCGAGTGACTGCGTGGCAGAACATTCGCTATGCGTTATTGTCTCATGGGTTATTAACCTAATTTTCGTGCTTTACAAGATATCTTCGTTTGAAAAGGAAAATTTAAATGCTAAAAATATGGAAAAGGTATAGTTCAATTCGTATGAAAATTATATCTAGACTAGCTGTTGCTCGCGACTTCGCACGCGTGAAATTAGAAAATAAAAAAATATAGCCTAAGTCACTCACAGATATTTTAGCTTTATAATGGTGAAATAATTTTTTAAATCGGCCCAGTAGCTTTTGTTACATTTCAATACATACAAGAATACAAATCATTCCTCTTTATAATGTTGGCATAACTATTTCTAATTGTACTGAAGAAAGAAAGATATTTCATAAATACTCTAAAAATTATTTAAAAATTGGTTCGTGGAGTACTAGAGATTCATTCATAGACTATTAATTGTAAAGTTTATTATGAGAATAACACGATAGAGGCAGTTCGGTCACGCGGCGAGATGACGTACGTCGCGGGCGCGGCGACGTGTCGTGTGACGTCACGGCTTGGCCGCCGGCCGCTGTAAGCAATAAATCATGGAATATTTCGCGACTTCGAAGTGCGTGAAGAGAGCGCGATGCCGAATCTAATCTAGAATAGTTTATATTTAACATTGTTATACGTACATGCGTCTTCGCGGTATATTTTTTCGTTAGACGGTCATTGACTTTGTCTTTATTAGAGATTTCCCGCATTGTTGAACAAAATAATTGTTATCACCAAACTAAATATGTAGTTTTCTGTAATGTCTAAGATCGGAAGTTGATTAGATTTTCATATTTTAGTGTCTGCAAAATCAGCTTTAGGTTAACACTTATTTGATCATTGTCAACAGTTTACTACTGTTAGATCAAACATTTGTTGTAATATGTTGTAAAATTTTAATGAATAAAAATATGCCGCAACAATTGTTATGAACAACAAACGTGCATAGATTACATCACATAAACGATTTCCGATTTCTATTCCAAATTCAAATTCGAAAGCAAACATCGTTATTAAACAATAACCTAGCGAATTGCCGTTCGGAATACACGAGGGTAAATAATAAAAAAGATAATCCCGGACATAGCTACGTCATCAAAAATACAATTTTCATTTACAAATTGACAATGGAGCAAGTGTACAACAAACAAAGTAAAGGCGCAATTCGTAAAATCAATTATAACGGGAACGGTTTGGAAATGCGCGAGAAATGAAACGTACGCGCCGCTGCTGTTTGCGCTTCCACACAATAACAACGACGTCAAATATTCTAACAGTTAAAAACTATCTTCCTGCATCACAATTGTACAATTTTTATTTATTACATATTATGTAACTTTTATACAAACAGACACTTAGTATAGATTTATCTTACTAAACTAATAAACTCCTTTTAATGTGACTAATATTCATTGTCTTATAGATATAGATTTTGTAAGCTACAAATAATAATAATAATGATTGACATTTTCTAACTATTTGTAGAGGTAATTGAGCTCATGCCCATTGTTTCCAAGAGCGTTGTTTTTACAATAAGAACAAATTTAACTCTATCTATCAACAAACGAAGCTAAACATTGCGTATTTTAGAAGATCTCATTTACATATATCTCGTTAATATGAGAACATAAAAGACGGATTATAAACACGAAGGCATTTTTGAGGACACGCGTTACATGCTCGTAAACGCCCTTAAATCACTCAAGCTTCAAAAGTATTTTGTCAAACAAGCAGGGGAGTAAAGTTTGTTTGTTTTCTGATACAAAATTGTTTTGGAACGTCTGGAGAAAGGAAGCGTCAAAAAGTTTCCCTTGCGAATATATTATTTTTGATATTGTACAATATATCCTTTGTATCTTTTGGCGAAATTTTTAACAACATTCCATACATGATACTTCGTTCAATGTAATCACAGCATAACGATATTGTGAATGACGATATGCGTAAGATAGGAATGAATTCAGATATGACGGCTGATAGAGATGACTTGATCATACGTCATAGTACATACTGTATCGACCATCCGTGGGAAAAATGGCAGGCACCTTCCTGATAATCTAATCACCATATGGTGATCACAGCAGATCCGATTTTGCTTCATAAACTGACAAATGACTATCAAATAAAGCTAAATAAGAACTACAAAAAAGTTGTCATTTGAAACGTTACCTTTTTTCAATTGATTTGTTAAATATAAAAGAAAATGAAATTTGTTTCCTAAAAATAAATATAAAACTAATTATTATCTCTGCTGGGCATCTGTCACGAGCGCCGCGGCCGCTATAGCAGGAACTCCGTTTCATTAGCGCTTGTAATTATGTCTATTTTTAATGAATTAGGTCTACGACGAATAAAAAAAAGACACGGTGTAAATTGTTAGAAATTTTTTTGTTAATAATATGTGGAAAACTTATTATATTAACTAAGATGCTTAAGTTATATTAAATTCGATTAGTTCAATGTAATTCAATGTGTGAGATCGGTATATATCACTTTCGAATATCCGGAAGACTTTGATAATGGTGTGCGTTATTCATGGACTTATTAAAGGGATTTGCAGCTTAGATTGCGCGATTTATTATGCGTGTATCTACCATCCTATTATTTAACTAAAGCTAATGTCGCGTCTGACATTATCAAATTGCCTTCAAGCGCGCACTCGGCTTACATTCATAATGATTTAAAATAACCGAGCTCTTACTCAAATAAAGTATGTTAAACGATTCAATCAATATAGAATAGGTAAAAAAATAACCGTAAAATCTTTTT